CTGGGCTGGATGAGGGCCAATAAACTGAAGCTCAATCCAGACAAGACGGAGGTCCTTTTGGTGGGTGGCTCGGGCCTCGGGATGGGGGACTTGGGCCTTGTCCTAAATGGGGTTGCACTCCCTCTGAGGGACAGGGTTTGCAGCTTAGGAGTGCTCCTTGACCCTGAGCTGTCTCTAGAAGCTCAGGTGACGGTGGTGGCGAGGAGCACCTTCCTTCAGCTTCGGCTGATACATCAGCTGTTCCCTTCCTGGAGAACGACTGCTTGGTGACAGTGACACACGTGCTGGTAACTTCCCGATTAGATTTCTGTAACGCGCTCTACTTGGGGCTACCCTTGAAGACGGTCCGGATACTTCAGTTGGTGCAGAATAGAGCTACCAGGTTGCTGACGGGGACTGGACGTTGTTCTCATATAACCCCAGTTCTCCGTCAGCTTCACTGGCTCCCAGTTGAAGTCCGGACCCAATTCAAGGTGTTGGTTATGACCTATAAAGCCCTCAACGGCTTGGGACCTGACTATCTAAAGGAATGCTTGCGTCCATATATGCCCTCCTGCCCCTTGAGATCAGCAACGGATGCCCTTCTCCGGGAACCCTCTGTGAATGATATTAGGAGGGTGAGTACCCGGAGGAGGGCTTTCTCTGCGGTGGCGCCCCATCTGTGGAATACGCTCCCCAGAGAGGTCCGCCTGGTGCTGTCGTTATTTGTTTTTCGGTGCCAGGCTAAGACCTTTTTATTTAAAACTTATTTTAATTGTTAAATTATTGAATTAATTAAGATTTTAAAAATTTTTAGGCGAGAATGCACCGGGGGTTTTTAAACGATTTTTAAAAATTGTTATATTATCATTATGTATGCATTTATGTATTCTTTGTGAGCTGCCCCGAGGCTTTGTTGCGATGGGGGCGGCATAGAAATTTTTTAAATAAATAAATAAATAAATTACAAATTCAGAGATATGTATTAGATTTTTCCCAGTTCCCAAACTGGGTTTAGTTTTAGTATCTGGTTAAGGTATGCTGCCTCTATTCAAGGTTTCTCTGCTGAAGCAAAACTGCACAAAAGTCTGTTTCTGCATGATTACCCCCCATTCTAACGAAACATAACATCATAGCATTTATTTCTCTTTGTGGTGTCCTTGTTTCAGCCTTAGCTATTGATTTATTAATTAAAAAACAGCTCCAATCCAGATTAGTCGTCCTCCCTCCCGAAAAAACCCACAACCTAATATTTGCACTGGATAAGAATATTCCTTTGGTAAGGTGAGAGTTTTTTTCCAGTGCGAACAGGTACAACCCTCCCCATCATCTCAAGAGCAATGGGAGGGGATAAAAGCCTCCATATCCCCTTTTCTGGGGTTCCAATCTGGATTGGGGCTCTGCATCTGCTTTAAAAAGTTTTATGCTGTTGCTGAGTGTCTGAATGGCTTCCCATCCTGTTTGATCCTGTTTCTATGATGGCTTACATAATGTAAATCCTGCAGAAATGGCTTTCCCATATGGGGAAGAAGAAGCCAAATGTTGTATGAATAAATTCTCAGAATTGTGTGTGGAAGTATATAGATAAAACTTCTTTCAAAATGCTGAACTCTAACCCCAATTATGAGTATTCTGTAAGAATCAGCAACTTACATAGTAGACTTATTCAGTAGATGTTGGTTTCCATTTTTTGTCCAAATGTAAACCATATATGGCAATATATATTATTGCCATCTCCTTTACTAAACCCCAGTTGACAAGAGGAAATATACCATATCTAAAGAGGAAATATACCATATCGGTATTATTTTCTCTTAAAAACTTGATCTTTTTTAGATGCTAATGTGAAAAGGCAGGATATAAATATTTTAGATAAATGAAGTATGTAAGAAACATAATCTTTCCTTGAAAGGAAAGAATGGTGGGATAATAAATAAATAAATACACACATTTTATTTTATTTTTAATTACTGTGATTTAAACTTTTTAATCTTTTTTTGTTATTTTTATCGGTGACATTACTACATTCCCATATCTTCCAACTTTGGCACAATGTGTGAGAGGTGTAGGTATTACTGGTTTTTAACAAAATGGAACACAGATTTTTTTTCTTTGTTACACATACTCCTGGTCAGTATTCATTATTTTATTAATTAATTAATTTTATTAATTTTCTATCCCACCCATTAGCCAAAATAACTTTTAGTCATAAATCTTTTCTTACATAAATCTCCATTATCCCTGTAAATTTCCTCAATATCTCTACCCAAACCAATTTAAAAATGAGAACATAAGGTGTTTTTTTAAAGAGACTTCGTATATTCTAATAAATGCATTTGCAGTTTTTTAAAAAAGTGATCTAGGACAATTTTGATGTGAGCTGCCCCGAGGCTTCGGCGAATGGGGCGGCATAAAAATGTTTTAATAAATAAATAAATAAATAAAATTTTATCTGTTTAAGTTTAGTGCTAGAATTGTTAAAAAAAAATAACAAAACAAAAGAAGCTGCTAAGTACCTTTTCAGCTGTTTTTGCTAAAAAAGGATCTACATTTATAAGGGGTTACTAGAAGGTCAACTATCAAGAGATTCCTTGGTCATGCTTCATTTGTACATATAACCTAAGTGTCATTATAATTGTATCTCTAAGCCTAATCTTCTCTGCAGTTTTTGTGGATTTAACTGAAGCCAGATTGGAATAGAAGGTCCCATCATGAGTGTTAGAAACTAAGATTAGAATAGAACACAGAATTATATTACATTTTTATAAAACCATAAACTGACTGTTGTTTGGTCTCTTCCCTCTTCAGCCCCTGCCAAAAATATTTAAAAGCTACATCTAGCTCATCCAATTGCCAGAACATCTAATTCCTCCCACAGATGTTTTCTGTACGATTACACTTTTTCACATCATTGCATTTTATTTTGAATATGCTCTAATGTCCACATTACAACATTACTTCATTTTTTTATGGCTGGAGTGTTAGTGACAAAGAACAGAAAGGTTTTTCCATGTACCATATCTCTCACTGAAACAGGTTAACAGGATCTGCATTGTTTACATCTGTCATATTTTTTTACCAAATGTATACTTTTTCAGAGCGTACAAGAGAATAGAGAATGAGGTTGATATTTTGTTCATCTTAAACTTATATTCCTGAATTGAGTTGAACTGGTAGATGTATTTACTTTTAGGAGGCTTCGGCAAGGGGTGGCATAGAAATGTTATAATAATAATAATAATAATAATAATAATAATAATAATAGGTTGCAATTATACATGCTGATTTGCCTTTCTTTGTCTGTTTCTTCAGCACTTCGGGCAGGCTGGCTGCCACCACCGCCACCACCTGCCCTTCCTCCTAGGCCTTCCATATCACAGGTATGCTTTTGGCATGAGAATACTGTGTTTATTGGTACAGGTAAAAGAGACAGTGGCCATTGTTGGAGTTTTCATTTGGCAATGAACAATATTCCTGGCCCACCATCATACAACAGGGGGGCCTTTAGGCACATTTGGGAATATGAAAAACTTCTGCGGGCACCTCCACAAGATGGCTCCCACATAAGGGACCTGCTTGGATAAAAGTAGTTTGGATGAAAGGATTGATGAGGCTAGAGGCTGGCAGGGGCTGAAAGGCAGAGGACCAGAGGGGGGAAAAAAGAGTAAAGCTAGAAAGAGAGAGACAACTGACCACCCCAAAGTTCTACAAGTTTGTATTTTTATTTTTTTAAGGGGGCAGAGAATAGAGAAATTCACAGGTGACCAAGGGTTCACTGGACACTTGGCCTGCAGTGTATTCAAGACTTAAGAAAAGAAACAATTGGCTATTTTCCAAGACTGTGTGTGTCAGCAAGGCTTAACTTCTAATGAAGTGAATCTAAACAACAACCCTGAAAATGCTCATTTTTTGAATGGAACAGTTCACAGAATGGGGCAGATCACAGAAGAGAACTCTGCTGATCTTTCTTGTATTGGAATAAGTATTCCGCTCATTTCCAGGTTGCTTGAAGAACCACCATCTTCCTGTTGCACTAATGAAAATTCTTGTAATCACAGCAGAACAAGTGGAGGTGTGGCAGTACTGGCTACTTCCCACTGTCATTAAGAGAGCTGAATCACAATTAAGTTTAGCAAAAGCATTTCTTGATCAGAGAACCAAGAGAATTCTCATGCAAAGGAATAGAACAATGGGTTATTTTAGCCGAAAGGAACATTCTTCTGTATTGGGCTAGATGAATGGGGTTGTGGGTGGTGAATACATTATATGGCGGAGGCATTCTGTTAAGCAGAATCTGTTCTGCTATTTGACATTTAACTTTTACACCATTCATTGCAAATACAAATCGTGAGCCTCCCCACTTGAATATCTTAGTCACATATTTTAATATTACAAGTATGCTGATGAAGCATAACATGTCAAAAGCATCAGAGTTCAACTGTACATTCTGTCACTAGCGCTCTGAAATTAACATTAGCATATTCATTTCTGGGTATTTTTATCCTTGTTTTGCAAAACAGATTTTTTTTAAAAAATCTACCTCTTGATACATGCTTTGCAGTATCCAAAAACAAACAAACACATACACACAAACCCAAACCCCAAGGTCATTATGTTTGCAGTTTCAAACAACACCTCTGTGGATTCTGGTATGTCTTAGTTCTCCAGCATTGTAGAATCTGCTGATGTATTATCAGGTCACTGAAATGCTGTATTTAAACATTATTATAGTGATTGTCTGCAGGTCTCTGGTTGGCTTGTCTTTTTATTTCCATTATATTCTTTTCAATGCCATGCAAATAGCACAAAGGTGCCATTCTTGCTGTTCAGGGAAGGAACTTTCTATACATACGTTTTTGAAAGACATACCCAATCACTTCATATCAACTATGGGTGCAGCCCTATGCATATCTAGGCAGGAAAAAATGTGCATTGTGAAGTCTTTATCTGTCTAAGCCGTGGGTCCTCATACTAAGGCCCGTGGGCCGGATCCAGCCCACCATGCCCATTTAAACGGCCCGCCCCACACGTTTTGTACTTGCCGGGCACACGTGTGTGACTTGCTTGTAAGGAGGTAATTTTGGACTAGCTCAGAGAAAACGATCTCCTCATGAGCAAGCCGGCGCCTCGCCGTGCGTGTGCCCAGCGGCGGCTTGCTTGCGAGGAGGTCGTTTTGGATTCGATCTCACGAACAAGCCAGTGCCTCACCCTGAGTGTCCCCCCTCCATCCCCACCTCACCTCGCCTGCACACATGTGTGCACGCGCCCCACCCTCTCACCGGCACCCCCCCCCCGGGCACCGCCTTGGTGGCCTGTGTGCACCACTGGCACCTGTCAACTGGCCCCCTTGAGAAAAAGTTTGAGGACCCCTGGTCTAAGCATTCATAGGATTGTACCATAACATCCACACAGCTTCCACAGTGAAGCAGGCTGTGAAGTACAGTAGTAGTTATTGGATGGGACGAATTGAACATGGTACGTATAATCAAACGCTTTATGATGGGAAGCGCCATTTTGAATGTCTCAAATCTCTTGTTTTTTACACAGGGGATAATATATGTGATCTATAATGTATTTCTGTAACAAAATATGCATGGTGTAGTGCACTGTTCCTCAGAAGCAGTTTCCACTGTGTTCAGCAATATTTTCTCCTTGATCAGTGTGTTCTGCATTGCAGCCTTACTTTCTGATCAAATCTCCATGTAGATCTCAGGCCCCATGTGTATTATTTGACATTGCTTGTTTATGGTTTACAAGTCAAGGCAATTGTCGCTACTTTTGAAAACTATAGGTATAGTACTATAGTATACTACAAAGCCAGAAGTTATGACTCATTTAGTATAATAACTAGTATTTTCAATCTACGTATTAGAAACTATTTCAGCCCATTAGGAATAAGCTTAATTGGTATTTGCAAAAGTTGTAACCACTTACCTGAGGTAGTACCACCCACTGTAGATTAGGTACTGCAAATTAATGTCAAAAGTGGTAAAATGATCTGTGAGAAAGAGATGGAATATATATACATTATATATATTTTATATATATATAAAAAAAGACCAAATGCGTTGGGACATGGAGCTATACTGCAAGATTAATAAGCTTCTTGCTTCCCTTTGAAAGCCCTTCTAAAGTCGCTTTGCTTTTGGCATACCATTTGCCTTTTGAAGACTGTCCAGAGAGAGGGCTAGGAATTTGTTCTTTAAAATTTGAAGATAACATAGTGGATTATTTTAAAATCAGATAGGACAAATGGAACAACATACTCCATTGGTAGTATTAGGATTGCCACTCAGTCAGTTAGAAAATCTAATTATGACTCTGGGGCTGAAATTCTTGCTTACAAAAATAACTTTAAAAAGACAGCTTTTACAGAGCCTGATCAATATGGACATCCTAGGAACTCTCTGAAAGTCAGTAGTGATCCTGCTAGTCTCATACTGAGGAAATAGTTCAGTGAGCGTTGCCACTTACTGTATTGCAACAGTTTGCCCTCTGTTTCTGACACTTCCTCGTTTTGGTTAACTCATTTTGAGCAATGCCCTCTGTGTGCCCTGCCCTGAGGCTGCTTGCCCTCTTCACTGACTTACTTGTTACCCTTCTCCCTGCACATGTATATTCATGGAATTCTAACCCTACCCTACACTCTTTATTAACATAAGCATCTCCGTAGTTCTTTTTAATCTAAAAGGTCGCTTCTTGCTTATTGTTATGTCACATTATTGCATTATTTTAATCCCTGTTGCACTTGAAAGCATTACTCTTCTGGAGTAATTATTCCAGAATTCTGTTCTGGAAGCTAAAATTGCAGTTGAACTTTAACCCAACTGATTTCTCCCAACCATCTTTACTATATAACCTCACCAGTTTATGCTACATAAAAAGATGGGCTCTACTTGTATCCCACAGGTTTCTCATCCTATCACAAATGCCAAACCAAATACTCAACTCAAATCGAGCTACGTTGACTTCGGACTTCAAGAGCAGGTATCACTTCAAATTATAAATGTAGAGCTGACACACAAGCTGTCCCACAAATGATAGGTACCTTATTACTTTATGTTAGGAGAATTGTTATTATGAATCAATCAGTAAATCAAATTCTGAAATTCAGGCCATCTAACAGCCCAGTCTTAACTACATGTTAACTGAGAAGGAAGTGAGTTAATTTCAGTGGGGTTTACATCCTTATGAACATGCACAGGATTTCAGCCCCATGGTGGTTTGCCACAGAGCCCCAAGAGAACTATTTTGGAGAAACTGAGCTGTTAGTGTGTAGCTTGCTATTAACAGAAAGCTTACTTTTGGCTGACTTATTTGCTGCATACAGGTCTGCATGCAGCCAAGGTGCATGTAAGTGATGGAAGAATCCCTGTATTATCTATCCTGTGCAAAAGGGATACTTACAGGAGGAGAGGAAGCCCTATAACCTGAACAGAAGACCATGTTAACCCCATCAAAAAATAGCATAACAATTGACATGATTGCTCCTAAGTGTCCTCTCCCACCTAGCAGAGCCCGCTTGGCTGCATGTATATGCCTGAGTTGCGGGCAATGAAGCAGGAAGGGAGATGATTCGAGCGCAGGTGGAGGAAATTTCAGGATGAATCTGACTGAACACACTTACGTGCTCATTATTGAGCCTATGCTGTGGCGGTAAGGGCGGCAAAAGGTAATTCTTCTCCGCTTCCATTACTTCCTCAAAGTGCTGTCCAGCGGAACTTTTCTGAGTGGTTTTCTGAAACCTGTTGAGCTCTTAGGGCTATTTGGTAGTGCTTGATCTGGGGAAGAGGAGGCAAAGATGCCTTTTAATCTGCAGTAGATTAGAACAAAGTTACATTGCAAAATTTTCATCTCCCAAAACATTTCTACAGGGCACAAAGATGGTTTTCTGGTTCACTGGAGCCAGGTGCAGGGGCAGCTTTATAGGCAGCAAACCAACATTTTCACAGTGATTTTGGTAAAGACTGATCTAGCGATGGTAAAACCTCTCCCTGTTTGGATGAAATGGTCTTGCTTGTTAAAGAATAACTTTCCATCTACATTTGCAGTGCTATCCTGTCAAACCATTTATTTTTCCTTTAGTATTTTTATAAGTTGTGTAAAAACCTTGCATAAAACACCATTGCTTTCTCTTACTTTGTACACCTAGCAATCAAAATCTGTTTTGAAGTGGTAAAATATTATACATACTAGCTGGACTAGTAATTCGGCTTTTTTAAGGGAAAAATTGCTCCAATAAAACAACTAAAATTGTTTTAAGCATATGGGTTATATTACATAATAGGGTACTTGGCTGAAAAGAGCATATGTAAGTGCAAACAAAAAAAATAACTGCTTTCAGAATAGAGGAAGGATGGAAATGATTTGAATAGAAGCAGAATCCTCACGTTACATTCTTTTTAAATCTACTTTTTATTAATGTTACTGGTCTTCTAAGCTCATGGTGGCTGGGGGGAATCCTTTCCTTGTAGTCTTTACCACTTACTCAGAACACACAAGATGGCTGAGCAACACTCTTACTCTGAAGGTTCTTTTCTGGAATGCTGTCTTGAGCAGCTTTGCCTGCCCTGCTTGCAAAAGCTTCTGATACATCTACCGTCAAAACTTCTTGGACATTAAACTGCTCACAGACATAGAACATTTCAATGAGCAATGATTTGCCTACATTAGAACCAATTTATAATGCAAGGGTCAGCTTTTTACGGTCACCCTAACTTTCTCTCTCATTCAAACATCTCCCCACAAATTCTATTCTTAAGTAGCATGTAATGAGATGAGTTTGTAGTTAATCTTGTTGTGTGCTCTTTTCTGCCACAACAAGCATGGGTGGACAGTTACATCCTTTTCTTTAATTGGACCTTGTCTGTAAGAGCTGTGGATACTGTCTGTCCTACTGTGATGGAATTTATATAGACAGGAACCTCTGAAATTATTTTATTTGTTCGTTTGTTTTGAAAAGCTTATTCTTGAGTGGGAAGAGCTCCCAGCCATTGCCCACAGGTGAGCAATTTAAAAGACATGAGGATGGAGGAAGGAGAAAATCAGTGCTCAGTCACCATTTCTTACAATTACAGATCTCTCATCATGAGCAGCTTGAATGTAAAAAAAATTGAGGTATTCGCTCCACATGGAAAAATAGTGTAGGGAAAAATTCCTGGGGTGGGGGATGGAAAAGCCTTCCAGCTCATTTAGGATTGCTGTGTTAAATTTCTCATAGTATTAAAATGGTATAAAATGCAGCATACTGTTAACTATGCTATCCTCTATCACCTGAGTAAAGTAGATTTACTGTGCAGGTAGCTATACTAATATTTTGTGTATTCTGCTGGCATAATGAAATAGATTTCAGTGGAGCAGAGATGAGAGCGTTTATTACCAGTATTATTGGTTATATAAATGAGTTTTCTAAGAAAAACACCTTTGTTTATTGATTTGGTGTTGAGTGTCCCATTAATAAAGTCATAGATGAGTAGGCACACTGTCTTTCAACTTACTCTAATCTCATTTTTAATCAGTATGCAAGAAGTTAGGTAAGATTTTATCAGGATTCTCTTGTGTGCTTCTGTAAGCACTAAGAACCCTTGCATTGAATGTATGTTGTACCTTTCTCCAAAACCTTATCATGGGCACTCAGACAGCTTTTAAAAAAGCATATTTCAATTGCAAGTCTGAGGATTGTAGAGTGCTGCAAAAGCAGTCCATATTAATTTGGACTTGTATGCATATTAATTTGGACTTGGAGCCCATTAACCATTGGGCTCTCTGGGTGGCTCACACCTCATCACAACAAGATTTTGGTATTTGCATCCTGAAGAGGTTTCTGTTCTGTTCTATCCCTTTCAGCTGCTATCGCAAGTTGTAAAAAAGAAATGTATGGTTCACTGTGATGTATACAAGACTTGTGAAATGAACAAGACGTTTCAGCTTCTTTCAGGAAAATGCCTAAGGGGAGTAAAGGATCTGAGGCATCACACTTAGGTGCATTTTAAATAGGAAGGAAATGACTTTAAATGCACTAGATGACTAAAATACTGGTAAATATTTCAATGGTTTTATTTCCCTCTTCTTTGTTCATCACCTGGCAATGTACATCATGCAAACAGAGATCTCTAATGTTTAGTGGTAGGCTGATCCTGTTGCTGTGCCCGCAGCCACGTCACACGCCTCTTTACACACTTGCAGAATGCTTTATATTTATACTGTTATTATTTACATACACAGCTGTTTTGAGATGTCATGACAAGCAATGCACATGATAAAATTGTTACCTGAGTGGGTCTTTCATTAGGATTCTATACAACCAATTCCTTCCTGCTTTCCAGGATAAGTCTGTGAAATAATTTAAGCTACATAAGCACTTGAGAGGGCTTGGGCAACCATAATGTCTTGACTACATAGATGAATGTGGTTATTTTATAAAACAGCCCTCAGTGTTAGGTTGCAATGCTAAATACATACTAAGGAGTAAATCTTACTGAACTCAGTGAGACTTACTTTTCAATACACACAGGAATGCATTATCAGCATTTAAGCTGAAGTTTCTCTTCATGTGAACATGAAATGTTTTGGTTTTGAGCTAATTTAACAGTTTAACTAATCTAACACATCAGAGACATAGCTACCTATTTTTGTTTTATCTATCAAATGATGGTGGATGCAGGATTGTTGCCTGGTTAAACTGTCAGAGTAAGTAGAACTATCTGGAGAGTTCATTTTCACGTGTTTACTCTTAGAGTTAAATACATACCTGTCATTTCAATACATTTGGAATGACCAACTTCAGTCAAGCAAATGATTGTGTCCACACGTCTGTGCGCGCGTGCATGCGCACTTACGTGCTCATGCGTGGAATTTGTTCTAATTTAAAATGTTGCTAAAGCTTCCACTAGATGGCACTTTAAGGATATGGCAATCCATCTGTGCTCATTTTGTTTATTTCTGATTTCTGGTTTAAAATTATATTTAGGTATTTAATTTGCATTAAATTCCTTTGTGTAGCTGAGTCCCATACATTATTTGCATTTTACATCCAATTTCTCATCATAACTGTTCAGGGCAGTAATAATAAATCAAGAGCAGCCACAGGCAGACAGTAACTTCTTGTTACAATTTAAAAAAACCCCGTTTTTTCTTCTTTGTGGTCTTTGTGCATAACACATACGGATTCTGCAGCTGATCATAATGGAGTCAGAAAGGGCTGTGGGATTGCCCGCTTGAGTGCTGTTTCCACTGCTGACTCTACTTTTGTACTCCCCAATATTGATGTCAGTCTTCGTACAGGTGTATAAGTCATTTCACCAAGTCTCCAGGTGTGGCAACTGTATCATTCATCTTAGTACCATCCTTGGTACTCTGGCAGCCCATGTTATGATAACCCACTTCCCTCGGCCCTTCGCTTTCAGCAGCCTCTGGAGAAGTTCTTCAGTGCTCTAGCATTACCTCCACCTACAACTGCATTCCTACTACCCAGGGCTATTTTCAGCATATCAGCACCGCCTCTGTTACTGATCTTGCATAAACTGAGAAGGTTCAGGAAATAAGTTCCATAAAAGTGCACACTCAAATAATTCATTTAATTGGAAGTAAATTTATAATCCTTAATTCAGCAGCTTTCTTGACTTGTGTCTTGTGCAGGTGACACTTCTATACATCTGTTATGTCATAGTGTGTTGTTTTCAGGAAACAGTGTTGAAGGTATTTTAGAAATCTCACCAAGGTGAAGAACTAGCTGTGAGCAAATAAGGTGAACAGATAGAAAACAGAGAAGGCATGCTGGAAGTACAGCTGTAATGTGTTAGCTTGTTAAACTTGGCCAGAATCTGAAGGCAGAAACAAATGCAACTCTAGGGAATCTCACTTTTAAGAATCATTTATCTAATTTTCCTCACTTCCTGTTTCACTGAGAGCCATATCCCCTCCTCCTCCTCCTCCTGTACTACCTTCATCCTCTTCTTTTTGCCTTTCTTTTGAGCCAAATAATACACCTCCATAGCACTCTGGGACCATTAATGGAGTTTCTCACTTAAACAGCCAGACTCAGAACTATGGTTCTGATGGAACTGTCAGATTTAAATATAGTTCAATATAAATACATTCATCTGAGGCTGAATACGCTCTACTGTATATCAGCAATCTGTAAATATACATCCTATTCTGCTCTGAACACACAACTGACACATTTTCTACATTGTACTTGAGTACAGCCCTAGTGTCTGTACTGAAGCTGAGTGGCTTCTCTCTAATCAGGTACATCAAGAGCACAGCAGCATGGTGCTTTATTAGAGACTCCAGCACACCCATCTTGTTGATATGTGCTCAGGGTTTAGCATCCAGTTGTTTTGGAATTTACGTATATACTGCGTAATACGTAGTTGTTTTCCTGCTCTTGTTGTTAAATTTTTTTCTACTTGTTTGGCAGATAGTCCAATTGTGGAAGCACAGGAAACACAGTAACATATCTGTATGTGTATAGATATCTATGTTATATCTATATGTATATAGATACCTGTATGTATAGCTACAGATACAGATATCTGTATGGAAGCAAGGAAAAGTAGGAGAGAAAATTAGATCTTGCATACGGCATGTGTTGTTTTTTGTTTGTTTGTTTTTGCTGTGGAAGGGGGGTGCACCTGAATCTCTTACTGGAAGCCTCATCACTTCATGCCAAGGTTAGAAGGCAGGTTTTGCTCTCAGGATAACAGTGACCACAAATGGCAGCTACTGGGGTAAGGGATTGCTTCAGGAATAGAGGCTAGAGGCTTCACAGCCTTTATAAATCAAGCCTGCTCTTGTCTGCATAGCATGTTCTACGTGTGATGGGAAGTTGAAAACTATGAGTAACTCCTAGTAATGTTGGTGCTATAGTGACTTGTACTTGTTACAGGTGGAACAGGAATCTGAGATGGAATTACCTTTGCCAATGAACAGAAGCTCATCACAGGTGGAAGAAAACAGCCCAACAAAAAAAGTAAGGCAAGGTCATGTAGCCTTCTTCAATAAAGTTGAGTTGCTTCTTTAAAAATTCATCAAGGTTTCTCTTCAGGAAGACTCACATTTCCTTTTCCTTTTATAGTATGGAAAGATTGTGGCATATAGCATCTAATCAGGATACCTACTTGTGCAGGCTAATTCCATTCTCTCAACAGACAGCTCTGCATTCTATCTATCCTGGAAGTTCACATGTCTCTGTGAGGCGTTGTTGTTTTAACATTCTTTTCTTTTAATGTACAAGTGTCTGTGTAGAAGAGAAGTTCTCTTGCCAAAAATTAACGCGTTTGGGTGGTATAGAAAAATTATACAAACATATACCTAGGAGATCCCCCAAGTATGCAGAAATCCATACCTTATTTGGGGTTACCCATTTTTATTCTAAACTAATAGGCAGACAACTAACCAAGTTCAAAATTCAAAGAAATAATAATTGATAAAGCTTTTTTGTGTTAGGGATAGAGAAAATTTGAAAAAGAAGTCAATGCATTATCAATCTAAAATGGCAGCCATGGTCAAATCACTTGATAAAACCAATAGCTGTATAATAGCCAATTGTTCCCAATTTCTTTGCCATTAATCTTGACAAAAATGTAGCAGGAGTCTGGGAGTCCTTTGTTCTCACCTAACACAGTGATGGCAGTTTGTATCAATGGGTGGTTTCTGTCTAGGAGTGTGGCCATGAGGAAGGAACAGGGAGAATAAGAGAGCTACATGATAGATAGCAATGATGAGCATTACATGGAAAAAGTTTTGAGATATCCTGGGTGATTCTTGTGCCTATTTGTTTGTATTAAGTTTGGAAAAGAAAGGTTAGCTCTTTAGATATACTAAATGTAGTCCATGTGGCTGTTCTTAAACGTGAAGCTTCTAAAATAAAAAGACTGTTGCTGTTTAAATTGTTTTCTGGAAAATGACTCTAGCTTTCTTATTGATGTTAATGCATTAGCAAATAGTTCCCATTTTTATTGGACTTTTCTCAAAAGTAGAAAATCTTCTATAGAATTAAGTAATCCTAAATTCACACAATAGTATGAGCGGAGAGAGAAGTGTTTACTTTGTGATAATTCACATTACAAGCAATATCCTGCAGGTACCTATGGCACACACTACATATGGCAGTTGTAATAAGTGACTTATCTAAAGAAAGAAACCTGATTTCCCAGATACGCAAGTGCATCTAGTGCTGAATAAATGTGATATCACTACCACAGAAGCACAATCTTAGAGCAAGACATTTGGACTGCACACACTGAATTGGTATCAACTGCCATTTTGCTATATGAAAACCTGATCCCCTAGAAAGGCCTTGAGGTACAAGTGTTATATTAGTGCAGTGTTTCTTTTCCAGCCATATGTGCATTAAAGCTATGAAGACATGGGCTACAAGCATTAAATTATAGACTGTTCTGGAATACAGCTAAAAGAATCCAACCCACAAAACTAGTTTATGTGTATGCGTGCATGTGTGTATGTGTGTTTTAAGCACTGAATGCATGTTTCTTTTGAAATGTAGGGGAGGTGTTTTTGTTTTACATGGTTCTTATGGCAAATCCTCTTTCCCTTTTATCTTCCCTTACCCTTGTTTCTATGGAAAAAAAACCCTCTTGGAGGCTATTTCAAATCCAGTTTTTCTATTAGTATTTGGGATAGTGTATCAGTCCAAAACAAACTCTGTTACTGAAAAACCTCTGCCATGCCATTTTGCAGCATTATTGAACTAAACATAGCCTGTTGTATAATTCTTGTTCTTATATATGGACGTGCACAAAAGGCATTCCTAGTGGATGATATCTGAATGGATGATGCCATTGCTTTATGGAATGAGGTTGGATAGCCAAAGTAAACAACTCCCTCTTAGGCCCAGAGGAATTTTGAAAATAAGATTCATATTCAAAAGATACTGTTACTGCTTTTCTAACAGATCATCAACCATAATTGTAAGCTTTCTTTTTTCATTCACAGGAGGTTTTGCTTACCCAACCACCATCAAAACCAATCCGCAGGAAATTCCGACCTGAAAGCCAGATGCTGGAGAACCAGGAACTTTCTCCCACTAAAAGTGTAGCCTCTTCCTTGCCTTCTGTCAAGTCTCACCACTTGATCCCAAAGTAAAAAAATACTGGCTTAAGTTACATCATGAGAAACTGGGAGAGGTTTGGGCTTTGTGACAAAATAAAGAGGCTTCAGATTTTCTAAAGAAGCAGTGTGGGAAAAAGTGCAAGTGAGTTGCATTTGCTTTTAGAGTGCTTTCAGATGAGGCTTTTATTGTGCAATTACCCTGCTTTGTTCATGGGATTTTATAGGAGGGCCACATATTGTCATCTTCAGTGTGTAGCTCCCCTGTCCTGTCAAAGTGTTTCTGTCATCCCTTTTTTAAACCAACAAATCTGTTAAGGGAGAAAAAATGAAATAGCTGCACAATAGTTTTTGATTGTTAGCACTATCATCTGGAAGCACCCTTAATTGTTCTGCATGTGAAGGTTAAAAATAACTTTCCATGGGCAGCAGAGAAGCACTAGACAGCTTGTGCAACTGACTTGTTCTTTTTTATTACTTTAGAGTATGCAAATCCCACTGATAAAATACCCAGGCCCCTTAAATATTCTTCTCTGAATTATGGGGGAGAAACTAATGGACAGTTAAGTGATAGCACAGATACAGATCAGGTGGAGGATTCTGGAGGGTGAATAAATGACCTTGATATCACTTCCATGATTTTCAGTTTTTACAAGTAACAACTGAAAGCTGTCCATTGATTCATACTGTAAAAGAAAATAAAAAGTGGTATAAGTTCCTCTGATGTAAGCATTTTGTGGAATAATTTAGGGAAGGTTGGGCGTCTTGCTGTAATGCTCTAGTAATAGTGTTGCCTAACGCTCTTTTTCAACCTAGATGTATTTCTTACTGATATAACAAATTACTCCTATTTTGAGAAAGATAAGTATTTGAACTGTACATGTTGGTCAGTTTTTTGTTTCCCACAGCTAGATGGAGAGGAGAGCATTCACACAACTGGAGGAAAGCTTTCAGGGAAAAAGTATTAGGGTTCTCTTCCAAAGATCTAGTTGTTCAGTCTATTTAGATAAAAGGGCAAACCACTTTTCACATGAGCTTTGTGCTGCGCTTTAATAATGTATCTGTCTTGTCATTTAAGAGTTGCTAACACCTCACAGACAACCATAAAAGGCCTTACTTAGAAATAATTTTGCTTGCATAGACTGTATTTTTCCCCATGTTTCCCCTTCCTTGATTTTCTTTAACGTTGAAAATTGCTAACATGCCCACTTTTAAAAAGTAGAGTGCATAGATATAGAAAGTCTAAAGAATCATCTATTGGAGATTCAGTTTCAGCTTGTGATGTCACAATTTAGGACTGATTTGCTTGCTACAAAGAAAAGGGAACATTTTCTCTGCTGCCTTTCTAATGTGCAAGCTGTCCCATAGCTGGGGTGGAAATAAGCAACAAAAAATTAATAAAGAAGGGCAGCAAGTATTCTTAATACAGTTTGCAGAAGGAAGTACTAGAGGGCTGGAGGGACGTAAATGTATGTATGACAGTAAAAAAATAATATTTTATAATATGAACCTTATATTTGTGAACTGCTCAGAGAACTTTGGCTGTTGGATGACATAAAAACAAACAAACTTACCTTTGGGGTGAAGGTAACTATTTTAAAATGCAGCCGTTGCCATGCAGCCTATCTGCATGAGCAGCCTTAGTAGATAGGAGAGAGTTATGTGATTGACTTAGCCATGGGTGGCTGATTCAGAAACATATGATGCAATTGACTATGGCAGGTCACACGGTCATAGGGCGGCTGCTTGTGTGAATCACAGTCGTGGTGAACTGGAAATCTCTCTGTCTGAGCTGATGCCAGAAAAGCCTTTTTAAGACGCATGATGCAGGAGAGGTTTAACTAGTAAATACAGCTTACAGGAAGGGCTATTAAATACTAGTTAAGGAAGACCAGAAACATACTGAAGTCCTTTTTACTTTTAGTTTCTTAATGACTTCTTAACTTGTGAAATAATAGCTTTATTTCTGTTCAGCAGATGCCTTTTCACATGTGTACCCCCACTTGTTCTTCGTTGGTTTTGATTAATGTTAAATGTGAGCATCACACAAACTTATCAGTTCTTACTACTAAGCGGGACTGCAGGTGGAGCAGTGGTTTAAACCGCTGTTCTGCTGGGCTGGTTGATCGAAAGGTCGCCGGTTCAAGTCTGCACAACGGGGCGAGTTCCCGTTGCTCCGACCAGCTCCTGCCAACCTTGCAGTTCGAAAGCATGCAAATGCAAGTAGATAAAAAGGTACCACTTCGGTGGGCAGGTAACAGCGTTCCGTGCACTTTGGTGTTTAGTCATGCTGGCCACACGACCACGGAGACTGTCTGCGGACAAACGCTGTCTCCCTCGGCTAGGAAATGGAGATGAGCACCGCCCCCTAGAGTCAGGCATGACTGGACTTAATGTCAAGGGGAAACCTTTACGTTTACCTGTACTACTAAGCATCCTTATTATGATCAGGAAAACCTTACCAACTGAAAGTGGCTTGTCTTTACTGTCTAGCAGGCAGTCTTCAAAGCAGAAGAAAGCTATTCAAACTGCTATTCGTAAAAACAAAGAAGCTAATGCAGTGCTAGCTCGATTGAATAGTGAACTCCAGCAACAGCTAAAGGTAAGGAGCTTACTTTAAACAGGAGCCTATGGTTAAACTGCATTTGAAACATTCTGATGTTGGCGCCACATAGTTCTTACCTGTCTATTATACGTAACAGAGGTCCAAATAGTGGTAGTCAGACTGGTGGGAGAAATACATCCTAATGTTTACAGCATCTCAATTTAAGTATCTTGGGTTGTGGTGTTTTTATATGCTTTAGTACATTGTGGTGTTGATTTCCTAGAGCATCTGAATTCATATTTATCACAGGGAGCCCAAACTCTGCATTTAAGGGGCATACCAGCAATCCTAGCACACTTAAGCAAACAATATTTGCTTGTTTTGTTTTGTTTTGTTTTGTTTTGTTTTGTTTTGTTTTGTTTTGTTATAATCCTGGAAAAATATCACAGTAGAAGTATATTAATTATGGATTGTAAAGGTAGATTTCATAAGTCAAATACTGTTTTTTATTTTGATGTTTTGAAGGACTATACTAATTGTTTTGTATCATTTGTATTGTCTAGGAAGTTCACAAAGAACGAACTGCACTGGAAACTCAGTTGGAACAGCTCCGACCTGTAACAGTTTTATGACATTCTGTAACAGAATGTTCAGTCCAAGAACCTTTCAATTTTGTCCGCACAATATATTGGCATGACCTTTTTTCAGTAGAATAACACCATTTGGAAAAAGTGACTGCCAGATCTTTCTTGCATTTCTTGCACCAATTACCTTGCAGATGAAGAAGGTACACAATTTGAATGTCAAACTATATGCCTAGAAAATTGAACTTCTTTCTCTAAGATTGATCCTTCAGGAATGCCTTAGTCAAATTCCATCTCTTATTCCTAACATTTATTTATTCCAAGAATTACTGATTTATACCAGGTGGGTTTTTTGGGGAGGTTGGGGGAGGGCAGGTTAAATGGTATACTCTTCCAGGAGATCTGTTTATATTTCATTTCAAACCAGATAATAATTCTTTAGCTGGCTGTGAGTTTTCAAACGCTCTTTAGCTTTAGAATAAATAGAAGAAGCATCTATGGAATTTACTAGTGTGTTTTCAATCCTCTGTATTAGCACGCTAGTCACACCTGGGTGTAAGGGACAATCCTTGCTGTGTTGGTGCAACATCTGCACACGTCTTCCTCTATGTCCTGTCCCTGGAAATTGGTCCCCTGCCTGTTCCTCAGCTTTCATCTCAGCCCCTTTGCAGAGGTTGCTGTTGGTCCAGTGTGAGGCAACTACCTCAGGTAGCATATGCTGTGGTGCTGGGATGGAGGCATGAGTGCCATGTGACCAGCTTGTGACCCTGTGTTAGCTTGCTGTTTTCCAGTGAAGTGGAGGATTGCCCATCCCTAGCATTGAACTAAGATTCAGCTAGTCTTCATTGGCTCACATTGCTGCTGCATGTAACCCATGTGACTCAGTGTAGCCAAGTGCAAGAAATCTGCCACAGCTGTTACAGGACGTTCTCACCTACCAGCACTATGCGTTATGCAATCCCCAGGCATGCTACTACAGTGGTAGGTTGTGTTAGCACAAGAAGATTTCTAGATTGTTCCTGATGTCAGTTCTGATCACAGGTTTTGTATTTTACTGCTTCAATGCTCTCATGTGATAAAAAATTATTTCCAACATTTAAAGGCTCATTTTTGGTAATTCAGTTGCTTATTTCTGAAGATATTTTCAGCAGAATAACTGACTTGCTTCATTTGTAGAATTGTGCTTGCTCTATATATTGACTGAAGTCCACACATACTCTTTTACCCCTCATTTGAAATTAATAATTGATTTTGTCATCTGCCTTGTTCAATTAGCACACTTAACTCCAAGAAAATCTCACTGAGCTCAGTAAGACTACTTTTGAGTATGCCAAGCTTGAACTGGATTATATCCAACTATATAACACTCCATGATTTGCAATCAGAGATTTGAGTGACAATGGGGATGTGGCATATTGGGTGAAGGGACAAATAGGAAAAGCTTTTTAACACAGGTAAAGTGTATTTAATTTAGCCTTTCCCTTATGGTTTTGTGTTTGCACATCACCCAAAATATATCTTGCATGTTGCATTATCTACAAGATGCGTCGATGACACCTAGTGTGGATCACTTTGGAAGGATCATAGATATGTTTGTGGGAGAGAGATCTACCAACAGCTATTAACCATTATAATTAAACCAAGCTTCTATGTTCAGAGGCAATGTACCACACAATATCTGTTATGGGGGAAGGCTGCACAGCAGGAGAGGGCTAGTGTTTTCCTCTAGATGGCTACTGTAGGTAACAGACTAGATGTCCCTTTTATCTGATCTAGCAGGGCTCTTCTTGCATTCTTGCAATATGCCCCAGATCCTTCATTTAAAACATTCCATGCCTCTCACTCTTTTAATTCTTTTAATGTCATGATAAGGTCGGACATCAGAAAATCCTGCCTGTATTTACTAAACCAACAAGGATATGCTCACAATGACCTTTGTTCTACTCTTCAAACAACCTCTAAGTTATGTTTATGGATTCTTGTCCTTAGCTCACTAGGAAAGCACACATGCTTTGTGCAAAAGGTCCCTTGGTTGTTCCCTGGCATCTCTGGATAGGAACAACTTCTGGGTGAAATTCTGGAGAGGAGCTGCCAATCAGTGCAGGCCAGGGATGGGCAGAAGATCGAACTCCAGATGTTTTGGACTTCAACTCCCAAAAGCTCCTGCCAGCATAGCCAGAATATCTAGAAGCCTTTTTTCCACTCCTGCTGTAGGCAAAGTGGAACCACTGGTCAAGAGAATGCAGTTTCTGATGAACACAGTGGTACATATGGTAGAAAATTAAACACTTGCTTCAGCTAAATTATTCCTCACTGAATTATGCATCCTTTTATTTTTAGTAATATGCTATATCCACCATAGATACATGACTCTTGGAAAATTGTGGTGAAGAGACTTCCTTCTAGTGTGTATCTATTAAAGGCAAATGATTAATTTGTGGTTTATGTAACAATGTTATGTAGCTGTACAGTATGAACTTCATCAGTGCATATATTAATGTTGACAAGAACGAGACCGTGTGGGCTAGCATTTATAAACAGTTATTTGAGACAGAGATACGGAAATACTATGCATAACACAAAGTTGTCTAAGATAGTCACACAGTGAATATTTTAATCTTTGATGTACCAATCATAGATGGGGGAGTGTTAAAAGAATGTCATGAGTTAATTATCCAAAATGTAGATGAAGATTTTCTGTAGTTCATAATCAAAAATAATGATACCCTATGAGAACTTAGAAAGTACTTCTTCATTTTTATAGTCACAGGTTATCATCTGCCCAGTATCTACTAAGGGAGCAGTCCTGAACTCCATGGAAGGGTGACTGGGAGTCATGAGATGCTCTCCGTCCCCAGATGCTCATGGAAAGCATCTCCATGAGATGTTCATATACCTTCCCATGCAGCAATGGAAAACATCTCCTGCTCTGACAGCAGAGTCAGGAACTGGATATAGCAGGTGAGGTCATGAATCTACAGGAACTTGTCCTCCCTCATTTCTCCTGCACACCTAACACAAATATCAGAACTACAACAGCTCTGGAGCTTACATAGTTAATTTACTTCTTATTTCACAGTGAAATCTCTATTTTGGGCTGATTCTTAGGAGATGATGCTGAAGCAACTTTAGTATTATCAATTTACTAATGGCAGTCAGGTTTTAAGCTACACTTAGGTTCTAACAGCAAATGTTTAACAGTCCCCCTTCTGTCCCTTCCCATTTCTTACTGGAATGATATATCAAATGCTCCTAATCATTAGCATGTGATGGGTCTTCTATGTTTTGGAACACTAATTTTAGCATTCAGCTTTTAGTTTTTAAAAATGTTGTGTTTGGAGTTCTTACAGAAGATACTAATAGAATTTATCAGTTACTAATAGAATTTATCTGGCATGCAGAGTTTGTTTTGGGGGAATGGGGTAGTATTTTAACGATGCTTGGGGAGAATATTCTTACATATATAGGATCCAGACTGTGTAGTGCTTAACAGTATTATAGCAAGAGTAGACATGCTTCAGATGAGCTCATTGTCTCCTTGCACCTACAGCTATTTTGTTATTGTAAACAAATGATCATGACTGGGAAATGCACCATGTTCTTTATTCTTGAGACTACTTTGGGATCAATTTAGATAATATGGACATATAACTACTATAGAAATAATTTTCCCTACATATTGAGTTTACTTCTGAAGATAGTTTGGGGTGTAGGGAGAAGTTCTTCATGTTTGAATAGCCCCAGAAAAGGAATAACACTGCCAAATCTTTAGCCTTTAGCACATGTACGCGCACACTTAGAAATAAATATTTTGTGTGTTAAAAATCTGATTAGGAAAGATTGATAATGGCCTTCTGTATACTATGATTTTTAAAAATTTTGATAGAATATGATTACTGCAAGTAAGGTAAGAATATATATTTGAACTTTTGCTTGTTTATATTATTTTGATGCTATTGGGCTAATAAAATGTGATAGATTTGCTTCACTATTAACTTTTGACATACGATACATTATTGAAAAAATATTATTAAAATTTCTTTAAGTTACTATATACTTGCCTGTTAAGATATGCTCATCTAAAAATCATTGGCAGTTGCTGTATATACTATTCATATAAAAGTCTTTTGATATCCAGAAGCTATGAAGTGAGTACTACATTGAAAATAAAACGTATTTATTATTACATGCATAGGATGCCCATGTGTCCTACTTTACAGAAGTTAAAAGGGCTTTTTGGTGAAGTCTCCAGTCCAGGTCATGTGGAAATACATTACTTCTTACCATAGAAAGGAAGACTGACCAGGTGACCTGTGTGACTGTTCAATCTCCATGTCCAGGTAGCATCAGTTGATTTGTATTTATTTTATTGACATCCCACATTTTCCTGCAGAGAATCCAAGGCAGCTTTCATAATCTTCATCTTCTCCGTTTTCTCCTCACAACAACCCTGTGAGGTAGTTCAGGCTGACAGGAAGTGATTGGCCCAAAGTCAGATAGTGAGCTTCATTGCTGAGTAAGGATTAGGCCCTGCCAAGTCCCAGTCCAATGCCCTAATCAACCACTACACCTCAGCTAGTTCTCTGACAGGAAACCTCAAGCCCCTTGCTCTCCCATCCTTGAGTTTTTTAAGAAGGAAAAGCAAGGGGCTTGAAGCTGCCCATCAGTTTCTAACCTGCCTTTCCACCAAAACTGAGGAAGTAAAGCCATGCCTTTCTTCTGTGCAGATTAACCTTCCCCAGTTTGCAGTGGAAAGGCCATGGTGGCAAGTAACTCATCATAGCTTCTGCAAGGTGCATAATTCATATGAGAAAGACATGAAAGAGTTTCTTATGAATTGAAATGTCAGTATGAGAAAGTCTGGCATGAAATTTGTCAGAAGTGTAAGTATGGCTCTTGGCAGATACTGTCCTTTATTGAATTAACCTCAACCCCCCAAAAAACAAACGAAACAAAACAAAACTGGCTCTGAATGGTAAAACATGAATTGGATCATTTTCAGGGGTAAACTGCTAAGAGGGTTATGACGAAGCCACTGAGAAGGGTCAGGCTGTGTTGCCGAAGTGGCAGATTGCCCTATGAGATGCCCTAGTCAAAGCACAAGATCACAAGTCCAAGTGCACTACATGTGGCTGACTCGCTGTTTACAAAAGGAACACTGAAGGTCCACCTACTCCTAGGCCTTTTTTTCCTGACCTTTGGCTTTACTCAAAGTCTGAAAGTGCCCCAGATATCCTAAAAAGTGGTTTGTGTGGGGGCTTCTGGACTTCCAGCATCTACTACCTAAAATGCAGCTTAAGACTTTGGCACAAAGAGGGAAATGCAACTTCAATATCTTCCAAAATGCAGATAGGCAAAGCAACCTGGTAAACTACGATTTTGCCCAGTGAGAAAGAGTGCAAGAGTAGACTGATTGAGTGTAAGGATTAGTTAGGCTTCTCTAAGACAAATCTTCAATGGCAAACTGAAGTACAGAGTGTATATGAAGACAGCAAATACATAGCAGGTGAGAGAGCTGCTTTTCTCTATCATCCGCACTTAAGGGAAAATAAAAGAAAGCCCAAAAATGATAACATATGGTACTCATGTTTCCCAAGTAGAGTGGCAAACAATGCTTTCCTTGTCTCCTTCACGTCTCCAGCACAACATGAACATTTTTTCCTGCTTACAATTGCTCTTCCAGCTCTGATGAGATTTAGAAATAGTCCAGCAACTTAATATTCTAATTACTTTGTGCTGTCTTTGTTTTAATACAACTGGGCATTTCATTTTGTTTGCCATAGATTTAAGGTGTGGCTACTTGGCAGTGCTTTCATAGTCTGCTACAAAGCATTTATTGTTTACTATAAATTCCTACTTCTCTCCCCTTTGTCATAACACCTTCCACAGGACCTTACCTGTGTGTGATAGCCCTAATCTCTGCTTTGCATTAGACAAGCGTAATCCTTACATTTAGCCAACAGCTTCCAGTTTCATCTGCTGTTTTTGAATCTTACATCCTCCCTATAGAGATCTTATTTCCTAAAGGGATTATTGGAGGATTCTGCACGGTCCATTTAGGGAGTTTTCCATCTGTACATACCAGAACTGTGGAGTGTAGAACAGTTCTGTAATTCAGTGCTGTATATCTTTCAAGATAATTTCCTGGTTGGGGAGAGAAGAGAACGTGAGCTGTGAATTGCAGTTAGCAGGAGACTGTAGGTTTTCTTGTCTCCATTGCTTTGCTGTATCTTTTAGTTCCTTGAGTGAGAGAGTTAGTTCCTTTAGTTAGTTTATTGATACCTTATGCCCTTGTAGTGTGAAGCATAAATGTATCACATACCAAGAAAGCAATCCCATATACAGTATGTATAGTCAGAAATAAATCATTTCAATAGAACTGAATCCCATATATGAATCTGTGCTGCAGGACTGTGGTCCCAAAACATTGGTTCTCTAAATGCATGCAACAAAATGCTGTGCAATGACCCCAAAGTCCAAATAAAACTTACAAACCACCACCACCTCGGTCCATTATTCTCAGTGCTGGTGAGTGCCAGAAGGACTAAATGAAACAGTTCAAAGCTCTTGTAAACTCAAAGGAGAGGGGCTGAGGTTTAGAACATTTCTGTCTGATTACTGCTCTAGCCATGCTTCCTTCCCAGCATCCTCCCCTTCAAGCAGATCCAATTTCACTATTCACTTTCCAGAAAAACAGCAGAATGGGCCCATTCTCCATCTGTGCAGGAGTTACTGTATCAATAATCCATCTCACAGGATTGTTGTGAGGACTAAATGGACAGGAAAACCTTGTCCATTGGTTTTGGATTCCTTGCAAGAGGAAGAAAGGCAGTGTACAAATACAGTGTAAGAATAATCAATAGAGTCCCAAAAGTATATTTTGCTGAAGGCTAAGAAATAACCAGTAGACATCTCATGCTTTAATGTTTGAGTGACTCCTAGATTTGTATCTTGGCCAGTAAGGGCAGGTGCATTTTTCCAGAGACTGCAGAACAAACTGGAAAACCCTAGCTGCAAACAGGCCTGCACTGCCGCACTTCGGGAATGTGTGGATGTGAGAGAGAGCAGAGTTGCCTCCTATGTTCTGGCTGCACAATGTGTGTTGCTCTGTCTTGTGTAGCAGCAATGCTTGTGGTGGGAGGGGCAAGGCGCAGGAGATGGGACCAAACTCACACTCTCTTCTCTGGAATCGGGGCAACGTTCTTCAGAGGTTCCCAGCAATGGCGAACAGATGACATCCAATAGCGATAGTTGCCATGCACATGCATCACACCAGTAGGGAATTACGCATCTGGAAAATGCAGCCGTTTGGCAGATGGGAAACACCAGGCCTCTCTGGTCCTCGCTGGTTCTCAGTCCAACCTGACTGCAACAGGGGTCCACCACCATTGTTCCACGTTCGTATCACCAACCTTAGGTGGTCATTATTGCCTCGAGTCACATTTTTTATCCTAG